ACTTCAATAAATGCTTCTTTGAACTTGGARGAAATCTGATCTTGTTTGATTGCTTTTGGGCCGAAACTAACTTCATGGGCTTCTCTAATGAATCAAGATTGTAGATCAATTTGATTTGTAGRTTAACTCATTCTGGTCCGGTCCGAATTCGTCATTTAACACGCATGGGTCTGAATCGCTTTTACAGGAAATCACCTGACTTGTAACTTGAATAACTTCTTCATTTGAGCTCCGATTGATCTGATTCTTCGTCGAGGTGTTCCATCAATGAGCTGAGAATATTAAGCAAGTTGTTTCATGTGTTGAATCGTCGTAGTTAGGAAGATACACTTCAAACAGTGAGCATATTCCCTTCATGGTCAGATTCGAAATGTGCATCTAGTTGGATTGAGCTCCGATTCAACTGCTGATTTCTCGACCCCATCATAATTTCCATGTTGCTTCTCATGATCATATCAAAGGTAAATTTCTAGACTCACATCTATACCGAGATACTAACTTGCTCTATCTTGGTGCAGGTCAAGAAGTTTCGAGGACGAAACTTTTCCAAGGGAGAAGGTATGATGAGATCATCCTACCAGTAGCTGAACAGGGGCTCCATCAAACGTGCCACACAAACCGCATAGGACTCTACAATGACACATATGCCTTTATTGGAGCATATAAAATCAACCACAAATATCCAGAGCATAAAACCACTTGGAAAACATTCTCATCTCATCGACAGCTTGCCAACACTTTGAGTCAACCCAATCAGAATTATGACGAAGGAGGTATTATGTTTGCAAATCGAGTGTTTCTGCACTTACCCGATTTGAACATATGCAGCTTAATTGGAGATTTACGACCTAAACAAGAGGAACTAAGCTGTGAGCCGACTTGTTATGGAATCCGGATTCATCAGAGATTTTGGGAGAATTGGAATCATACCAATACCGATTTTGGTTTGAAAGTTATTCAATTTCTAAACCAATGGTTTCTCGTCTTGTTTTATTTGGAGTCTCACGAGTTTGGTCAAGATCAAACTTATTTGTGGTGACCAGGAGACATTTATTCTGATCTAGAAGCTTCCCCAAAGGCCCTACAATGCTCCAGTACTCAGAGGATTAGGCGAATCCTCTTGCATCTCAACTTTCCTTATTTTGACAAATTCAGACTAGGAACAATAAAGGAATTCGCACAACAGGTATTTCCTTTTGGGTCTATCCACGAATTAGAGACCCTCCAACACATCTAGAGTCTCCCAAAGGTGCACCTATACCTCCCCAAGTTGTCTAGATACAAGGAGCCTTCAAACTTTCCTTTTTGGTTTGATTTTGTCATCAATGCTCCAACGGGCATATTCTTTAAATTTCGCGATTTTTTTCTTGTATTAGCTCCATTAGACTGTTGCTTATGAGCCTATAAAAGCTCATCTCTTAGTTCATTATAAATCACCTTCTATCATTGAATCAATAAACATTACGTTTTTCTCTACAAAGTGTGTCTTTGTGTTCTTGTTCTTGTCTTTAGA